ACACACGAAAAAAAAAATAAAAAAATCCTAGGATAAATCAATCTGTCAATCAATCAATCAAATCAAGATCCTAGGATCTTGATTGGTTCAAGATCCTAGGATCTTGATTGATTGATTGATTGATTGATTGATTGATTGATTGATTGATTGATTGATTGATTGATTGATTGATTGATTGATTGATTGATTGAAACACGTTATTCGTTAAAATAGGACATTATACTGTGTCCTCTTTCTAACGAATTAATTTTTGGCTGCAGCCTAAGCAACGTAGGCATGCCCATCCAGGGGATAACCACATGGAGAAGCGTGCTGAGATCCATACTTGTGAAACTTCATAAATGAAATCCCAAATGCGGAAGTGTGTTGGGATCCTTACTTGTTAAACTTCAAAAACATGTTGGTAATCCTGTGGGGAAGTGTGTTGGGATCCATACTAGTCAAACTTCATAAACCAACAACGATTGGCACGCCAAAGGGAACCCTGTGCGGAAGTGTGCCGTGATCCTTACTTGTCAAACTTCAATTTCATAAATGTAATGAAAGATACAGTAACTATATTGTGACACTGTCCTCTTTCTTACGAATTCATTTTTAACTGCAGTGTTTGTACATGGGCATGCCCGCCCAGTCGCCCCAAATGCGAAAGTTTGCTGACATCCATAGTTGTTGAACTTTTGTAAACAAAATTAGCAATGTAATTAGATTAAATTGGAGAGTACAATTCTTTCGGTTATCCCAAAGGCACACATGCAGGTTCATCGTCTTGCAGAAGACGGTTGTTTAGATGTATGATGAGATACGGACTTGTTTTTAGAAACCTTGTGACCCTGGCAGATTGAAACAGGAGTATGCCGAGATCCATACTTGTTAAACTCAAAGCTTACGTATGTGATGAGCAAGGTGTCATGATTGAACTGTTGTTGGTTAACACATCAAATTTTCGTTTACTACGTTATCCCTAAGTCCGAATCTCTTCAACATCCAAACAATCGTCTCGGGTGAGACGACGGGTGTGCTTGCATAAGTCCGAATCTCTTGAACGTCCAAACAATCGTCTCGGGTGAGAGGATGGGTGTGTTTGCATAAATTTCGCATTTAGGCACGCTCATCATCTCGCCTGACATGAGGGCACTGAGATCCATACTTGTTTACAGTTGTGATGGGCAAGGTGTATTTCAATTGTGCTCCATCACGATGAATATCCGCATTTTAAATGGTCATGCAAAGAAGGTTTGGGTATCCACTGACCAATTTCACATAAGATGAGATTTCTCATTCATCCACCAACCAGTTTCACAATCATGTTTACACTTCCAGTTGAACAGAATTCGAAACATGGAACACAATACTTCAACTTGAACAAAATTCGGAACATGGAACATTACGTGACATAGATTACAAAGCCCATACATGACGCAAGACATAAATTGAGCTTGCCGTAGATAACACGAACTCGGAACGATAAAAGAAAGCAATGCCTCTGGCAGAAGGACAATTGAATAATGTCTTGATTTACGAAATTCAACGATCAACGAATGTAACACCTTAAAAAAAAATTTCGAAGTCAATCAAATCCATCAAAGACAACGATGTTCTAAGACACATGATGCTAATTGTCGTCTCAGAAGCGGAATATCTTTACAAGATAACCGGAAAGGCAGTCGATCTCCACGCTGCAACAACGTCGTATACATCAACATGAACACACCACAGCTTGCTCCATCCACTTGTCTCGGAACTCCATCCACCACAACATTTCCCACTATGGACTTCCAATTCCTACCTGAACGCCCATGTGATGTTTGACGTTCCAAATACTGCACAATCAACCCGATAACACTAAGGTAAAAACTAGAATCAGCTACAATGCGAGGAAAAAAATCAAATATTTCGAGAACATCATCTCTCATGTTGACGGAAACGAGGATCCAGTGATCATCATCTTTGTGGACAGGAACGAAGATAATATCGTAACGAAACAAATCTACGTTTTTAGCCCACCTCTGCACCCCACCGTGTCCTTGAAGTCGCAGTTTACTGAAGAAGAACGAATTAAAGCGAAAGACTTGAAGGCCTGAAGAGATGTCACGTGACCCACATGCGGTCGACCCCAACAACGCCATATAGAAATTGACCACCTCATCATCCACCCTGCCGTTGACTTGCAAGAGGGTGAGGAGATCTTTTGCTGCAATCCGAAATTGACCATCGCCCTGTATAGAGAGAATAGTGTTAGACGGCACTGAGCCCTGTACAATGTTATCCAAAACCTGCAAGCTCAGAGGCGCAATCGTCGCAGCGAAACTTTTCCCGCGTGCTGCACTTGTTGCCCGCACTGCACAACATCGAGCAAAGGACACGTGGGGTAGTGAGAAACGGAGTTCTAGGCATTGTCCCCCGGTGCATGACGCGTTGCTAAGTACTTCGCATACATGGTCTGACCCCTACTCACAGATCGTGGATATGTCCCTTTCTCTGGGGCAAGAAGGGAAAGACATTCCTCAATGGCAACGGTGTCCTCCTTCTTTCCGATCTCGACATCAACCCCTGATGCCTTTAACATATCCTTGTGTTTTGTACTCAACCCGGGGACTTTCTGCAATATGTGCTCTGGATATTTGGAGGACCTCCGTGTTCGAGACGTCACCACCCCTATACAACAGAAGAAAGACAAAACGGAAAATGAGAACCATACATTCGTACAGATGCAACAGTCAAACAGGACCTCTCCGACCACAGGACCCTGATCTCGCGTGTTCATGTGCACCCAGGTGCGGTTTTGCGACAGGAAAACAAAACGACTGCAACATCCGAGCTTATCACCCCCGCACTTCGCAAAGGAAAACCACCACAACTCACAGAAGCCGAAGGCCAACAATCCCCGAAGTTCGGATTGCGGCGGACTTTTTAATACACCAGCCCCACTGAGACTGACCACATCACGCAGCGACAAAGGAAGTTCGGATCCCGGCGGGCTGAAACCGGCACTATTTCCGAGAAGGGAAAACTGTCAGTCCATCTACTTGGCCACTTTCTTAGCACCGTGGCCTACAGTCAAGCAGGACCTCTCCAACCACAGGACCCTGATCTCGCGTGGTCATGTGCACCCAGCTGCGGTTGTGCGACTGGAAAACAAAACAACTGCAACATTCGAGCTTATCAACCCCGCACTTCGCAAAGGAAAACCACCACAACTCACAGAAGTCGGAGACCAGCAATCCCCGAAGTTCGGACTGCGGCGGACTTTTCAATACACCATCCCCACTGAGACTGACCACATCACGTATCGACAAAGGAAGTCCGGATCCCGGCGGACTAAAACCGGCACTATTCCCGAGAAGGAAAAACTGTCAGCCCATCTACTTGGCCACTTTCTTAGCACCTTGGCCACTTCGCCCCGGCTAAGGTTTTGGATGAAGTTTTCGCCGCCCTCGACTGGCAACCCAGCCGAGTCACAGATAGGCCGACGAGCTGGAGTAGGAAGGGCTGTTGGCTGTAGCATGCCGACATCTGGAACTTCCCGTATGTACAGACAGTGTGGACAGTCGTCGTGTGTATAGCGCGGACTGTAATCCGGCGACATCCGGATGCGCAGGCGTTCTTCATGGCTTACCACTCTGTTTCTCTCTCCGCTCCTTCGATGGTGAATTTGGCGCAGGCAAAACGAGCACGTTGAGAGCTTAACCGCCGAACCTCGATTTTTTTGGGGACGTCACATGTTGTCCTCCACCGAACTCGCCTTCCCCTTCGGCGGCAAGGGTGGCCGGCAGCACCAGAGACTTCGGCGGCGACGAAGCGAGGACAGTTGCCACGGAAGATGCGACGTTGGCAGTTGCGGACGGACGGGCAGACACGTTGTGGTCGTCGAGGATACCATCGATAACTTCGTCGATGCTTATACGTCGACTTTTATCAGACGGGCTGATAGCGATGGAAGCCTCGTCGAACCGGTGTTGCAAGTCGACAGCAGACGTCAGTGGCCGGACTGCATAATCTTCAGGCTCTGCGGAAAGGTTGCTGACCACTTGTGTCTCCATCTCTATTGTCGTGGCATCGTCGTCGACATCATCCTTGTGATGCTCTCCGTACAGTTGTCCAAACTCGTCAGACGACTCTCCAGATCCGGCATCGTCCTCACTGTGTTCCACTTCGTCTTCTCCAGACCCGGCACCCTCCCTCCCTTCAAACAAATCAATTAGCTCCGTTTATCCCGCTTTCTCCCCTTCCACCTCTTCTTCCCCTTCTTCCTCCCCTTCTTGCGCTCCCTTCTGTTCCTCCATTTTCTCCACTACTTCCCTCCCACGAAACTCGTCCCCTTCCGCGGTACCCGTGCTGAATCTCGAGGACCGCCCTTCCGTCCTCGTGCACGCTGCCCCTCTCAACGGCACAACAATCCCTGGCCGACAAACCCCGCCCAAAGAAGTTCGGATCTCGGCGGACTTCGTGGTCTCCGTGTCGCCGGACCCTGCAATTGCAGCCTCCCGCTGCGATCCTTACGGCCGTCGCTCCCGCTTAGGCGACACCTTTCCGACGTCTCCGTCCGACGCCGCAATGCTACGAATTTCTCGAGCCTTGCTTGGATCCCCCAACCCCGAGCAGCTTCGCATTCCGGACCGCTCTGGTGGCTCCTCACCCGACGTAGTTCGAATCCCGGCGGACTTCGGCTTCTCGGCCGAGCAACTGCCTCTCAACGGCACAACAATCCCTGACCGACAAACCCCGCCCGAAGAAGTTCGGATCTCGGCGGACTTCGTGGTCTCGGTGTCGCCGGACCCTGCAATTGCAGCCTCCCGCTGCAATCCTTGCGGCCGTTGCTCCCGCTCACGCGACACCTTTCCGACGTCTCCATTCCGCGCCGCAATGCTGCGAATTTCTCGATCCTTGCTTGGATCCCCCGACCCCGAGCAGCTTCGCATTCCGAACCGCTCTGGCGGCTCCTCACCCGACGTAGTTCGGATCCCTGCGGACTTCGGCTTTTCGGCCGAGCAACTGCCTAGAGCAAGCAAGGCTGCCAATGTGTCCCTCGCTGAGCCCACGGACGAAGTCGGGGGGTCGGCGGAGTGTGTCGTATGCTCGGGCCGGATGCCTGTCGACGGAGTCCGGTCGACGGCGAAACCCGCCACCCCGGCGCTGCCTCCCGGTGTTGTGTTGCGGCCGTGAGACCCTCTCTCCCCCATAGGCGGGATTCCTTTGCCACCCCCTGCGTCGCCACCCCCATCCCCTCCGCTTCTAGGTGACCCCCCCCCTGAACCACCGTCCGGCCCACTGGGAGGGGGCACTTTCCAGTCCACCGCTCCCTTCGACGGACTCGTGTCGAGCTCGTAGTAGTCCTCCGTCAATTCCAACCAGCACTTGTCCTGAAGCTCGTCGAACAGTTGACCGGCAGTGGAAATGAGGGACAGGTCGCCGGATGGCAAAGTGTTATTTTTTACCGTCACTTTCTGGAGGACCGACATCCTCGCGACGTGCAGGAAGCTGGACTTCGACTCGCGTAGGAATGACACCCATCCCGCGCCCGGGATTGCCACAGCCATGACCCACTCGCCATTTCGTATCGCTGGCTGGATTACTCCCGGATGCCAAACCATGTCATGGCCCCAGTCCAACTCAGGTGAATGACGTTGCGGTTCAAGCGGAAAGTGGATGTTGTCATCCTTCCAAGACGGATGATCGGGCGGGACGACGGACCCTGGACGCAAAGCGGGCGGGGGGGCGGCCAGAGCTCTAAGTCTCTCCATCAACTTCATCGGTGTGGTGCTCGGCGCCGGTTTGGCCAATGGTGACACGAGGGCTGCAGCGCTTGGTGATGGACCGGCCGACGAGGACCCTCGGCCGTGGTTCGCCGGAGGCGGGTCGTACTGCAGATCGATGCTCTCCGTGTCGCTCTCCTCCTCCTTCACGTTGGCGACAAACTCCACACCTATGGCTTCCTCGTCGTTAGTGGAGATCAGGGAAGCGTAACTGGCTAACTTCAACTGCTCCTCGGACTCCACTAAGTACAGCGACTGCAGCCTTTCGATAAACGTCTTCGCGTTCATGCGGGAGGCGAAGTGGTAGTTGTCGAGCAGTGCCAACATGTGGTCCTTTCGGCGGATGTACTCGGCGTCAGTGTCCCTCCTCGGACGCGTTTGAAGGAACAAGAAATCGTATATCTTGTTCCTCTTCCTCTCGGTCAACTTGAACCACATATCCGTCTTGTTGCTCCACACCTTATCCCGTGTTGGCCTCACGACCATGAACTTACAATTGTGCCCACCCGAATTGACCTCGCTTTTCACCACCTGCATCGTGAATTGCAAGAGGTCGGAGTTCCCTTCCATTGCGACAACGTGTCGGTTTTAGGAGCTCCCAGACGCTTCGCGCGTGCGGTGTCCCAAGAAACACGACACCCTCTCCCTTCTTGCCCAGAAAATCAAGAAGACCGACGAATTGTGTCGGATTGCGTTCCATATCCCCGTAGACGCTGCCCTGTCATTCAGGCGCCACCAGCGACCAGTCGCAAGGCGTGAAACGAATCTCGGACACATCCGTCTGGGTGACCCTCTGAGGCAATCGCACGGCAGCAGCAACACCCCTGGGCAGGTTTCCCTCGTAGACCACGGACGTGTTGACGCGCAGATCGTCACCCTTGAAGAGGATGTACATGCGGTCTTCCTCCGTGTACAAATTGTTCCCAACGGGGAAGCTTTTTTTTTGCTGCACTCTCTGCACCCACTTCCCTTCCAACAGCTTGACGAAAGAAAGATGGTGCATGCTGGCGAGAAATGACAGGTTGTGCTGCCCCGACACGAAAACAACGAGAGTCTAATGCGAGGGACACCACGTCTGAAGATAGGAATTCAAAGTCTCCCACGCTTGGGGCTTCCACTGTTTGAGGTCAACTGACTCGCACAGATCGAGGACGAACGTGTGGCTCTTTGTGGCAGTCACTGCCTCCTTCAACTCTGCGCCCCTGATGTCCGCCTCTAAAGGGTCGTTGGCGAATGGTGCGATGGATGTCACATCCCCCGTGTCTTTCCATTTAATGTGAACGACGCCTTCGGCAAGTGCGACTTCCCGGCTCTTCAGTCTGCTTCCATTCAACAGGGAGAGAACCTTGTTTCTCCAATCGACGGACAACTTCTTGTGGCCCACCAACTTCTCCATCACCTCAATCGAGTTGTCCTGGTCGCAACCCATGTACGGCGGGCAGTCCTTGAACAGCGCCGAGTCGGAAACGTGTTTCCTTCTGTTATCCCACAACTCGTCATCCAACCCCTGACCTTCAAACTTCTTGAACACGTCAGACCTCGATCTCGGGAAAGGGTACCTTTGGATCTAGTCCGCGTTCGGCCTCTTCTCGTGCTTGAATTGGTAGTAATTCCACAACCGGACCAGCACGCGGTCGCACTTCACCAGCTGCACCATGTCCTGCACGCTGAGCTTTCCCAACCTCGCCAACGACGGGGAGCCGGTCTGGACCCAAACGACCTCGCAAGCAAGCACCTTTTTCAGAACGCGACACTTCTCATTGTCGTGAGTGATTCCATAGTTTTCCAGCAATGCGCGTCCGGGTCTGGCACTTGCACGAACCAATCACCCTCCTCTTTCTCCTTTTTGCCCTTTTTATTCGGTGGGTCCACGGGGACGTTGTACACCACCTCCGTTCTGCCCAATTTGTCGTTGTGGATGTAGGCGACCCCAGGCTTTACGGTTTTGACCTTCTTCTTTTTGACGATCCACTTCGCCCCGTCGTGGCTCAGCAATCTGCCCGTCTCCCATTTTTCGAAAAATTTCACGGCCTGTTTCTTGACATTTTCCCCGGCCATTGCCAGAGGTAAGTAAGAATGCAGGGCAACATTTTGCTTCTTAATGGCCTCCTCTTCCTTTTGATCCGCGAGAAGCCACAAGCTGTTTTGAGGCGCCTTATGGAGCGCCGTTGTACAAAACTWAMGCCAAKCCCGGAMCTGATCTTGTTTYCCRCTAGGGTTCCCCATCACAGCWCTYGGGCAGCCGTCATGCTTCCACTGCCATCGAATGTCTTTCATAGAAAGTTTCAACYGTCTGGSAGGYGCCTTSAGRTCCTTCTTGTTGTCCTGTGAACTAACAAGAAAATACCCTTCAAAGTCATCGTCGGAAAAGTACACCATCCGTGCCGGCCACCGCTCGAAATTGTACTTCTTGGCCACCTCGCTGCCGAGCAGCGACCTGGTTGCAGCCGCATTGTGCTGCCCGCACACCGCGTAGTAGTAGTATTCTMCCGCCAGCTCATCCTTCCACTCCACCGGCTTCAGACGTTGTGCCTTGGTCCCAGGAGTCAGTTTTTGAAGCCCCAGTGGTGCGAGCTTGAAGACCGGCAACTCGTACGTCTATTCTTTATTTTCGAACGCAGACCACATTGCTTCCCTTATCGTTGCCACGAGGACGGGATCTAGCGACCGCTGGTTGTAAAGATCCTCCTACTCCCTTATGTCGACGATCTGAGCCGGGCTGATCTCAAACTCCCGCCTTGTCCTGACGCCGTCTTTGTACTCCAGGAAGTACCCGGCGTCCACGTCGATGGCAAGCCCTGGTGAAGAAGGTCCCGGCTCAGGCTGTTTATGTTTCGAAGCTGGACGTTTGCTACCCGGGTGACCCTCTTCCACCCCCCTCCCCTTCCGTTTCTTTCCCGCAGTCCTGGGGGTCTTGGTCTTCTGTTTCTTCGAAGAGCCCACCAACTCTTATTGACATTCTCCCCTCCTTTTTGGGGGAGTGCCCTGCGCTCCCTCCCCGCCCACGGCCTCGCCTTCCGCACCATGGCCCTCTGCGGGCTCCAAGTCAGACCCACACAAGACTCCCTCTTCTCCGGGATCTGCTGCGGTCTGTTGCCGGACCCCAGCTATGGACAGCACGGACCTGTCCCTTTCCCTCGACGGCGAAAACGGCGGACGCGGTGTCGCCTCATCTTCGCTGTCGTCAAACTTACCTCTGGCATCCTTCCGCTGCACATGTGTAGCCTCCCCGAAACCCAGATCCCCCCCCTCCCCCGCTGCCCCGCTCGACTCACATCCGCCGCACGGCTGCAAAGGCATTGACAGTTCCATGTCGGGGCCGACTTCGCAAGGGACGTCGAGGGCGATGTCCTTGTCCTCCAAGGAGTCAAAGAACTCTCGACCCAAAACAAACCCGCCCTGCCGCCGGAGGTCGTTGTAGAACGGGGTGTTCGCAGCACCCGCTCCGAACCCCTCGAGCAGACACATGTCCAGAACCGCCCCCTTGGCACTGGCGACGACGTTCCCCTTCGCACCGTAGACATTTTTCACGTAGAACCGTCGACAACTCCCTTTCACATTCTCCCACCGCAAGACTGCCCCCAGCACTCTACGCCGCTTGTTGGTTTCGACGAAGATCACAGGACCACACGACTGTTGCACTGGGTTTGATGCATCCCCACAACACCAGTCAACGAACCATTTCGACCTAGCGTGGTCGGACCACGTCCTCGAGGTCGTAGACGACCGTTTTGTAGAATCTTTCCCAGATCCCATCCGGGAGGTCGCTGCAGGCTCCCCTTCTCCGGGATCCGAACTTCAGGACGATGTGACAGGCAGAAACGGCATCAGGGACACACGACCCGCAAGTCTAAGGTTGTCAAACTCAACCCCGACCCAGGAAGGCCACACCGGAATGAAAGGCTGGTTGAAATGGAGAAGTCCGCCCTAAGCCGAACTACTTTCCGATCTCGCGTTATGCACAGCTTGGCACTGGATGAACCCAAGCTCGAAAGTGACAGCCGTGTCAACATTTCACAGGTCCTTCGACTCTGGCTGTTGCCGGAATCCATGAGGGATCCGGAAGACCACCGTCTGTGGCAATAGACGGGCGACTCCTGAAGTTCGCCGGGATCCGAACTTCAGGAGGATGGGAGAAAGAGAGACAGAGAGAAACATTGGAGCAACTCCGAGTCGAAATGCAAGACAGTGTTCGACCAAGGCGCACGCGGAAAAACCCCGGGGTTCCACAGCCGACCGCAGGTTTCGATGGCAGTAGTCATCGAGTCCAGGCGTAATTGGTAGCAGGACCGTTTCCGACTCCGCTCAGCACTCGAAGCTCGGAGGCCGGTGGGACGCACAGGCCAAACCGCGAAGTTCGCCGGGATCCGAACTTCAAGAGGGCGCGACACGGAAAGAGACGGCGTGCACTAGCAACTGCTGCCTCCCGCGCCTTTCTCCACTACTAAAACTCTGCTATGTTCGACAGCACACAAGCCTCTCACTCGTCTCCCTTCTTTTCGCTTAAGCAGGATGTCCAACCACACGTCCAGATCTTGTGACAATCGCGGTTCCTCAGGGACGAGGTCACGAACTGTAGCCATACAAAGCATTCATTGACGATCCGTAAACGCGAACCAGCGGATCGTCGACCGTTGTAGTTTCCGAAAAGACGGATATGTATTTCATCCTAACAAACACTCCCGGTCGTGCTAAGGAGTTCCCTATACAGTCCCGTATGGCGGACACTTTCTCCTCGGCCTCCCTAAGCAACGAAAAGTTTTGGACCGGCCCTGCTATAACCAAATCTCGCCACCCATCTACACGTTCAGGCCCGGGCGTCGGCACGAATTTGGACCCCTCAATTACCGCCTCGTTGCGTGACACAAGCACAACTGCATCGACGAGTTTCGTGCTCTTGTTCGACGCAGCGACACATAGAACTCTGGCGAAATCAGACCCGGACACAGTCAATCGCACACAACAGTATGACAGAACTTGTGGAGAATTCCCGGGGCACCGGAGCGGGTACCGGTCCAGGAACGAGTAGTGATGAGCGCAGTCCAGCAACTCTTGTTTCCGCGAGCCTCCCCTAGTTCGTGGCGACGACCTGACGTAGTGGCACTCGAGGCGGCTGAAATGGCGGCTAATGCAGCAGCCCAGTGCTCTGCGCATGTGGTTTAGGAACTTGTGTCCGAGGACAGCGTCAGACAGCGGGATGAGGTTCCCGAACTCCAACATGTTGGCGAATTTGTACTGGCTTGCCCAAGGGCAGCGACTCTCCATCGTGGCCCAATTCCCCTTGCACCAATCGTCAATATGCGCGTCCTTGCATGGGACGACGGTCATCCAGGGGTCCTCGTCGAAGTCCTCTGCGGTCGCTCCGTGAATCGTAGTCACACCGTTGAAATGCCGCACTGATCTCGCGCAAGGAGGAAACGGTTCGGCCAAGCGAATGTGCGTTTCGGAACTCATGGTTTGTGGTGTTGAGAACATCGACTCAAAGATTCGAGGTGTCGAGAAGGTCCCATCCATTACGCGCCCTACACATCACGCGCAAATACCAAACGACACACACGGGGACGCTGACACTCGTAAACATAGTTGGCGAGCAATCAATCGACATAGGTCCCTCGCTGTGGTTGTGCAGCGGGGTTGGAACGCGAGTTGGGTTTTACGAACGGCAAGAACCTGAAGTTCGCTGGGATCTGAACTTGGCGAAATGCCATGGGAGAGACACAACTGTCTATCTAACTCGCCTTTCCATTCTTTCTTGAAGTTCGGATCCCGGCGGACTTCACATTTTCACAGGTCCACCACTGTGGTTGTGCACTGGGGTTGCAACTCGAGTTGGGTTTTACGAAAGGCAAGAACCTGAAGTTCGCTGGGATCTGAACTTGGCGAAATGCCGTGGGAGAGACACAACTGTCTATCAAAATCGCCTTTCCATGCTTTCTTGAAGTTCGGATCCCAGCGTACTTCACATTTTCACAGGTCCACTGCTGTGGTTGTGCACTGGGGTTGGAACGCGAGTTGGGTTTTACGAAAGGCAAGAACCTGAAGTTCGCTGGGATCCGAACTCGGCGAAATGCCATGGGAGAGACACAGCTGTCTATCAAAATCGCCTTTCCATTCTTTCTTGAAG